GAAGTATGAAGAACATTTTGCTGGTCAGTGACGGCAGTTGCACAATAAGAATGTGCTTAATGCCAGAGAACTATTTAAAAGGGTTTTTAAGAAAAGCATAAAAGTTTGCATATATTTTGCCATAATTGAAAATTAAAGAACTTTCCACCAGGAAGGAAGATCATACACAGGGAAAGAGCTCTTGCTCTTTACATGAAATCAACCCAAGTTTTATCCCTGGCACCCATATGGTTCCCCATTTCTCACCAGGAGTGATCCCTGAGTGCAGATCCAGGGGTAGCCCTGAGCACCATCGGGTGAAACCCCAAAGCAAAAAAAAAAAAAAAGAGAGAGAGAAGAAAAACAAAACAAAACCAGACCAAAAAACTTTGAGCCATCTTTTTACCTCACTTTCAGGAGAGAAAATGGAACAAAAAAGCTAGTGCCCGCCTGCCTACAGTTGGTTCAGGTACAGCTCCAATGCAAAGCCCATGACACAGCCCCGCAGGCACCCCCTGGCTCCCCCGTCCCCTCTGGAATGAACACCTCCCACCCTGGTGTCTAGGTTCACGGCACCAGCACCTCAGCTGGTCCTCCGAAGTTCAAGAAAAAGCGGCAGAATTTACGGTAATCATCTGCGTTTTACAAGGGGAGAAACAAAAGCAAAGAAGAAAGGTAGCAGTCCTGGCTTCTACACTCTTCCTGGCTGCCCAGTCCTGGAAACCCGTTGGCCCGGCCAAACCGCTCTGACTCCCACGTGTGAGGCTGCCCCAAGCCCACCTCACCTCGGTCGGTTTGCATTTGGGAAATTTCTTTTCCTTTTTTGGGAAATCTGCCTCTCCTCCACACCCACCAGTTACAGGGTATGTGGGTGTATCGAGAAAGAAATTTCCCAAAAAAGGAAAAGTGATTCCCTAAGGTTAGTCCCATGGCAGAGCTGCCGGAAGAGCAAGGCAACAGTTTGGCCTCAGTCCTTGAGAATTCCCCAAGCAGAAAGGCCTCTCGGAGCAGCCCTGCAAGCAAAAGGGGTTCAGGGACTCTGTCTCCCCTCTCTCCGGCTCCAAGGGACTCCTGTTGAGCCCAGGCCCTCTCTCCTTCCCAACCCGGGGGGCTAAACACAGCTTCCCACCGGCTCTGAACCCAGAGAGTTGCTCGACCAATAGCTATTAAGCCTTTCCCAGTGCTCCCCGGGTCCCAGTTTCTTTTCTACCTGCAGTCCTTCCCGCAGGCCACCCCAGGGTGGAAGCAGAAACGCTGTGGCAATTCATTCCAGCTGGTTAGTTCTATTCGGTATTTATCAGGCCTGTGCCACCAAGTCCCAGGCCAGCCAAAGCAGAGATATAAGGAGTTATCAGGGAGGCCAAACAAACAAAAAAAAGTCACACTCTAGTTGGTAAAGGAACACTTAAACAAATGAAAGTAAATAGTAATGTTGTATAAAAGTCAAGTAACAATTTGAAACAGATTGTGACTGAGTGTTGAGGGACTAGCCCAGCTATAAAATGCTACAATTTATGACATGCAACAGATTAGTTTGGGAGGGATTAGGGGAAGGGAGGCATGCTGGGGGGGGGGGGGGGGGGGGAGGGGGAGGAAGACTGGAGGGAAAGCCCGGCAGAAGCCTGAGGGCTCAGAGGTGGCCACAGAGTGGCAGATCCGCTGTTTCTGGAGACCCACAGATGATGGGGTCATTCCAGAGGCCGGGGAACAAGCACTAACAAGCACTAACGTGGGAGCCTAGGGGAGGGGTCCCTGGAGAAGTCCTGATGCCTGGTGGAGGAGCACACCCGCCCTACCTACTCCAGATCCGGCATGCACCGGGCAAGCCAGCAGGGGACTAGGAAATCTGACCCATGAGTCTTTCTGCCTTCTAAAAATAGACAAAAAACCCTCAAGTTTGATCCCCCACACTGCAGGCCCCCCTCCACCCCGGGTCCCAGCCCTGCCAAGAGGACCCCTGAGCTGTGGGTAGCTGCCAAGCATAGGGAGTGGGGAGCCCCACGCTGCTAGATTGGGTTGTTCCAAGAAAGCAACCTGAAAAACAAGCGAGTCAGGGACACAGCTCAGCAGTGGGGCACTGGCCTTCCATGTGTGCAGGCACAAAGTTTGCTGCACCCCCCACCCACACCTCCTAAAAAAAGAATACAACAATGAGCATTGATGCCTCTCCAGTCCCTGCAAGGAGTCCCACGGCAAGCCCTGCAGCCACAACCCCCCAGTGCTGACCTCCTGGCTGGCCTCAAGAGCAACCCTTGGGGTCTGCCTGATACATCGGTGGAGACCCTCACTAATCTGAAATGCTTTTTTTTTCTTTCCTTTTTGGGTCATACCCAGTGATGCTCAGGGGTTACTTCTGGCTCTGCACTCAGGAATTACTCCTGGCAGTGCTCGGGGGGCCATACAGGATGCTGGGAATGGAACCCAGGTCAGCCACATGCAAGGCAAACGCCCTACCCAATGTGCTATCGCTCCGGCCTGAAATGCTGATTTTGAAAGGACTACAAGGCCATGGCCATGTGTTTCTTTAGTGGTGATTCCTCTTTACTAGGCAGATGGGCACTACCTGGCCCACCTTGTTGGGCTCTTTGGCTCTCAGATCATCCACCAGAGAGTGGCTCATGGCCAAACATCCTCCACTGGGCATCCCCCCAACACCCTCTCTAAGGTCCAAGTTTTCCAGGGGCTTCTTTCTTTCCCCCATGTTCCTGGCACCATCCCACCCAGTCCTAGCAGCCCGTGAAATAATACCCCACCAGCATCCAGGTTGCTGGGAGACCAAAATGGACTGCAAGGTATCAGTCCTCATGGCTGAGCAGCTTCAATTATTCAGGAGTGGCCTTGGGGTGCAGCATGTGCTCTGTGTTTGTGCTGGCACAAAGGCGTCCCCGGCAGCCACCCTTCTGTGCCTGTGCAGCCAAGCTGAATGGACTGGACTCCAGTTAGACCTAAAAAAGATTTCCTGACAGAATGGTCACTCTCCGAGGAAAGAGCAGGGAGGTCCGTTTGTCAGGATGCTTGGTGACTCTCACCCAGATTATACACAATCTCTTAAGGCTCCTTCAACAGCCTGAGAGCAGGTCAACCAGGTACAGGGAAGAGAACACAAACTCCAAGGCACGAGGGAGCCCAGCTCCCACCTCAGGGCTCCTGGTGTAGGAAGAGCACTGAATGGGGGCACTGGGTCTGCCGAGGTTTGCTTTCTTTCCCCAAAGAAACAAAGTGTCCAGGGGCTGGAGCTATAGGACCTGTCTTGCATGAGGCCCACCCTGTTTGATCCCCAGTATCTCATATGGTCCCTGAAACCCACCAAAAGTAATTTCTGAGCCAGGAGTAACCCCTGAGCGTTACCACGTATGGCCCAAAAACAAAAGAAAAAGAAGGCTTATTTTTCTTTTAAAAAGAAGTGTTAAGTTTATTCCCCTGCTGCTACTGCTAAGGAACTCTGCCCTCCCTTCAGCCATCATCTCCAATACTGTCACCTTAAACTACTTTCGACCACATAGGTTTCCATAGCAAACTCTCTCCGTGGTCCTTCCACATTGTACACACACACACACACACATACACACACACCAGAAAAAGTAAGATGGAACTAGTGAGGTAGTAACCACTACAGAAGAAAGATTGGTATCTACTAATTCTATACATAAGTACCATACCTATGAATTCATCCCAGAAATGAAAGACAGCACTGTATCACAAATGTAAGACCCACATGTGGAAATGGACATGCTTATGTGAACGACCATGCTTAAAGTCCCAGTGATCCCCGAGTATAAGGTCCTTGAAGGGAACGGTGTTCTCTGCTCATACTTCTAGAACGTGCTCTTTCCTCTGAAGCAAAAAGTAAAGTTTGAGTAGGATGAGGTCCATTTCCCAGGAGTGCTCAGGAGGTTGGGGAACATCCTGGTACCACCTGCCCTAGCTGGGCTGTTCAAAGTGGTGCTGCTCAGGTTAATGGTGCATGGGGGCTACCAGAGAAGACCTGGAGGTACTTGGGAGGTGCCAGGGGTACACTTGGTAGTGCCCCAGGGGCCATGCAGTACCAGGGATTAAACTTGGGGTCTGGGGCACACCACGCTTCTCCCCAGCAACCAGGGCTCAGTCCCAGTTTGAAATGTCTGTGTGCATTCTCACTCTCTCCCTCTCACCTCTCTCCCCCCTCTCTCCAGGTTAAGGTCCTCAAACCTTTCCTCTTCAACCTTTATAAAGCTCGGAACTCGGCCACTCTAAGAAGACGCTTGTCTCCTTAAGAGATGAAATGGGTGGGGAGGGGGTAAAATAATGGGAACATCCCACTTTTGTGGGTTTTGGTGTTTGCCCCGGGCTAAAGGCAGTGAGCACTCATTCAGCTCAAAACAGGAAGAAGATGAAGCGGTGACAAAGCAAACCAGAGTCATAAAGTCTTGCCTTAGAGACCTGCACACTGCACCCCTGGTCAGGAGGCTCCAAAACAGGCTCTGAAGAAAAAGGAGATCAAACAAGACAAGCGAAAGCAGCAACAGCAATGGACCCAGCCACAGCCTGGGATGGCGGCACGGGAACGAAGGTGTGTGTGCAACCTGTGCCCAGACGCCCAGGGTCACGCCAGTCCCTGCACCTGGCAGCTTCACAGCCCGTTCCACATTAACCTGGAGAGCGCTGGCCGAGAACAGCCCTGGCAGCCTGAGCCCTTATCACCTACTCTCTCCCACGACCACTGGAGATGCCGCGGACCAAAGGTCTACCAGCTGCTACAAGCTCTTCACAAATGCCAGAACTAGGGCTGGCTCAAAGGACAGAGCACATGCCTGGCACGTGTGAGGCCCCGAGTTCATACCCTGCCACACACTGCTGGGAGTAGGCTCTCTATGAAACAAACAAGCAAGAATCAAAAAAAAAATAATCCTGAACAAAAATTTCAGACACAAAAATGAATGCCCAAGCATAAGAATACAACTTCTGTGCTTGCAGATGGTAGACAGGGAACAACAAAGTGGCCTGGCAAATTCGAGGGCTGGGGGATGGGCAGAGACACTCACCATCTCATCCAGGGCGTAGCGCAACAGGCCATGCTCATAGAGGATGAAGAACCGTCGCTGCCATTTCTGTAACGGAGCAGAAGGTGAACGATTAGGAGAGCCCTGCTAAGAGCGCTGCATGGCAAGAGCCCAGTGTTAACCAGCTACACTCAAGGAACGTGGGTGCCAGTGCTTCTCGATGCTTCTAAGGCAGATGGTCAAGGCAGTGACTTGTTAGCGAGTCTTGGACTAGGGGAGAGGCCCCAATTATCCAGTGTTTTTCCACCGAGATATTATTTTTCTGCCCCCCAGACAGAGAAAGGCCACCCCGGTCAGTCCTGGCAGTTGCCCCCCAGAGAAGGGGCAGTCCAAGAATGCCAGGCACTAATTCCCTGCTTCTGAAAAAAATCTGGAAAACTGCTATAAAAGGGGTTGTTCCATGATCCAGGAGAGCGGGAGACGGGGAAAAGGCAGTCAGGCTCCAGAATCCATGGAGGAGAGAAGCCAACAGAAATCAAAACTGAAGAGGAATGAGACCACAGGAATGTCCAGGGAGTGACCAGCTGGCAAACAGCGCCCCCCTCCCCCGTGCTCCGCCCAAGGGCCAAGGGCCCTAAGAGCTGAACAGAAAGGGCCCCAAGAGCATCCAGTGGTGTGGGGAACAGAAGACTGCCGGTCCCTGAATCCCAGAGATCATCAGGAGGATCTATGACCCATTTTCAACATTTAAAAAAGCCCAGAAAATGCATACTTTTACTGGCAACAGGTCACAGGAATTAAAATATCATGTCCCTTTGCTCTGGATCAGAATAGTGACATTTATTAATAATGGTTTTCCTATCAGAAGCTGGAAATAGTAATTCTGTTTGACCTAAATATAAATTAAACAGGAAAGGGGTGGGGCGGGAAGACTCGCTGGGAGCAGAGACACTGGAGCACAGTTGTTCCTGCTGCCTCCTGCCTGGTGGCATAAACAAGGCTCTGACGGTCTTGTACAGAAGACCGGGGTGGCCGCTCCTCTGCTGGGTGTCCAGGGAGAGGCCACCTGGACGCTCTCCAAGAAATATTTTCAAGGGTCCTATTGTCTCCGAAGTCAGAGCCTGTTCCCAAGGAACCCCCGAGACTCCAGACACAATGCAAGATCTGTGGGGCACAGCGGACCCCACCCCAGGGTGTAGACTTCAGAGAGAGGAAAGTGGAGACCAAGAAGCAGGGGAGCAGAAACGAGGAGCGCAGAGCTGGCACCACATAAGGATGAGCAGCACCAGACAAGGCTGTGCTGTAGAGCACGGTCTAGACTCAAGCCCTCACACAGGAACAAACCACTAGCTTGAGAACCCTGCTGGTTTGCCCTTCTCACTGCTCCCGGCCCTCTGTGCACAACACGGACCCACCCTGGGCTGCAGTGCTAGGAAAGACGGGGCAAGGCAAAGCTTCTAAGTGACCGAGGCCTTCATGTAACTTTGGTAGAGCTGCTGGCGAAGTCTCTGGTGGAAGGGAGGAAAAGGAGAAGCTGCCTTCACATCAAAGGAACTGGGAGTCTAACGAATGCAAACATTTGCCGAACTGCTCTCTTGCCTTTTCCATCACAGTCCTGACCAGCAAAACTGGCAGGCCCGCAAGAGCAACATTTCACCTTGCAGAGAGGACTAGGCTCGACAACATAGATTCCTCTCCCCCCACCCCACCAGTGGAATCTAGGAGTTTGCCGAACAGGGGTTCCCTGCTAGACCTACTACCCCAGATCCATCATTTTAACTTTCCCTCTCTGCCTTCGATTCTGCTGTAAGGCCTTCAGATGGGCTCCAGTCTCTCACCTCCCCAGCCCCGCCTGGCAAATTAACTCAGATACCCTTACCCGAGAACGGTGCACTGGGTTGTCAAAGTCAGTCCCATCTGGAGCGAGGAGCAGCCAGCCACCATAAATAGGTTTTGCCTAGGGATAAAAAGAAGAGGCAGGTCATTAGCAGCCTTAACCCACGCAGAGAACAGGCTCACTGTGGAGCTCATGACAGTGCCCGCTGGAAACAGATGCCATGGACATTCACTACACGCCACTCATCTCACTGCCTGGTCACAGGCCTCATCTTCAAGGAAGGTGCCAGAAAGCAGGAGGTTCATGGGAAGGCCAGCATCTGGCATAGAGATGGGGACACAAACCCCAGGTAGCCCAAAACACTGCAGAATATGGGAACTGCTAAGAAGCAGATGCTCCCCCACATTCCTAACAAAGCCGTGGAGATCAAGAGGTGGGCGGGGGGCGAGAGCATTTTCTTCAGTGATGGACATGAGTGCCAACGTAAGCTTAGGAAGACCATGTGAATGACACAGTCAAAAGCTTTCATCCAGAGGGCAGAAAACAGGGCCCAGAAGACAGACTATGGGCTGAACAAATGCAGGGAGGCCGGGGGGTTCAATACTCAGTATCCTGTGATACCCTAAGTGTGGCTGAGAAAAACCAAGCCAATAGTACCCCCTGAGTATCACTGCGTGTGGCACAGAAAGTAAAACTGAACAAACTTAGCTGTGGCCTTGGGGCTAAAACCCTTCTGAGCTTCAAATCTCTCATTTGAAAGGTCCTAGGGATAGATGTAATAGATGTAATTATATGAACAAACACTTCATGAAGTTTTTGTGGGGACTGGTGAGATCATGCAAGTAGAACATAGAGCACAAGCATGCAAAAGGAATGGCCATAGCAAGACAGCAGCTCTGCAGAAAGTTAAAGCATGCCCATGATCCAGAAGCCTAGTACTAGGCACACCCAAGGACATAGGTCCCCAAACAAAAAATCTTTTCACAAGTTTTTAATGGCAGTACTACACACAGTCACCAAGAAAAGAATGCTGATGCTGACCAACAGATGGATAAACAAAATGGTCTGCCCACACAATGAAATATTATTCAACAGTCAAAGGCATATAGTATTAAAACATGCTAAGGGGTTGGAGCGATAGTACAGCAGGTAGGGCATTTGCCTTGCACGCGGCTGACCCAAGTTTGATCCCCAGCATCCTATATAGTCCCCTGAGCACTGCCAGAAATAATTCCTGAGTTCAGAGCCAGAAAGAATCCCTGAACATCACTGTGTGTGACCCAAAATGCAAAAATAATAGCACTGTAGCACTGTTCTTTTGTTCATCGATTTGCTCAAGCAGGCACCAGTAATGTCTCGCAACAAATTGTGAGACTTTTTGTTCCTGGTTTTTTTTTTTTTTTTTGGTGGTGGTGGGGGCATATCAAATATGCCACCGGGAGCTTGCCAGGCTCTGCCGTGTGGACTGGATACTCTTGGTAGCTTGCCGGGCTCTCTGAGAGAAATTTAAAAAATTAAAATAAATAAAATGTGCTAAAACATGCATGACCTTTAAAGACATGCAAAGTGAATGAAGGTCATCAAAAAAGAATATGTATTAGGACAAAAACTCCAGAATAGGCAAATCCATAGAAAGAAGGTAGAACAGAGGCTAAAGGGAATGAAAGTGACTGCTGTCACTTCAGTTCCTGGTACAATATTTAAACAAAACAAAACAAAAACCAGGGCAAAAAGATAGTATAGTAGGTAGGGTACTTGTCTTGCTCACAGCTGGCCCCAACTTCAAACCCCAGCACCCATAAGGTCCCCGAAGCACCACTAGGAGTACTGAATGCAGAACAGGAGTAAGCCCTGAGAACCATCAGTGTGGCCCAAAACAACAACAAAAACCAAAACCAAAAACCGTATTAACTCCATTCCACTGCTCCCTACTCCCAGTCCCTAATTTAAAACAAAAAAAAGAAGAAGAAGAAGAAGAAGAAGAAGAAGAAGAAGAAGAAGAAGAAGAAGAAGAAGAAGAAAAAGGAAACACTATACATAGTTATCTGCCCTATAAATGCTTAATAAATGTTAGCTTTATTTTTTTGCCTGTTTTGGGAACCAGCCCAGTTCTGTACTTGAAATTTCTCCTACTAGTACTAGGGAACTATGTGGTACCAAGGTTCAAACCTAAGCCCCAAAATACAAAATCCTAGTGGTTGGAGAGATATGACCGGGTTAGGGTGCTTACCTAGCATGTAATCAGCTCCAGTTCGAGCCCTGGCCACACATACCACTAGGTAAGGTCCCAAAACAAAACAAAATAAACAAAAATTACATCAAACCTTGGAGCAGTTGCTCAACGAGAATTTAAAACACCTAGACGTTCTGGCCCCACCCTTTTCAGTATCCCTGTTCAACCACACCCAAGTGGCAAGAATAAGCTAGACAAGGTACAAGCAAGACCAATTCATCCACCACCCTTTGGAGAGCAGAAATGGTCCAAATGCAGAAGTCCAGGCAGAATGACCTCTGGCTAAGCCTTTAGGATCCCTTACCATACTTTTTATTCAGTACTCTCCAGATTGGGAGCCTCTGTCACAAAGCCTCATTTCACAGCCACGGAATCTGTGACTCAGGGAAAGTCACTTGCCAGAGGTCAGGGTCTGGGGTGTGTCCAGAACATGCTCTTGAACTGCCTTCTGCAGAGACCCCCAGGCCCCTGGGAAAGCATGGGCTTCTTCAGGAACATGACCAGAAGGGATGGGGTATCTGGCAGGGGTTCTGGAGCTGGCAAGGAACCAAGAAATAGAAGGAGGAGAAGGACCCTCGGGTATTTGTGATAAAGTTTGCCAGGGAAAGCAGAAGCTAACAGAATGAAGGACTGTTTTCTCAGCAAACACCAGTACTGTCCAGCCATCCCCCCAGGCAGCCAGGACACACAGTCTCTCTCCATGCTCCACTGAGGGGGCTGTGCCCCTCAGAGCCAGCACACACGGGATGGAGTGGTCAGCAAGACCCTGGATGTACCCTGGGCCAGGGGACTTCCCCACTTTGCCTCTTGGCCTGCAGTTCCCCAATCTATAGAGTCAAGAGGGCAGACCACAAGCCACATCTCCACGTCTCACCGAAGCCAGTACAGCCTGGACAATTTCATTCTCAGCTACATCCGCCTGCATGTCCACACGAGGGGCGGCTGGGGACTGGTGCATGCTTCCTTGAGCACTCCTCAGGCACATCTCCCAGCCTACTTTGGCAGCCGGGGGCCCGCACAGTGGAGAGCTGCCAGGAGCACCTCGACTGAGTACAACCTTGCACAGGTCACCTAAGTCCCTTTCTGGAGGACATGCCACCTTGCGAGGTGGGAAGGTGGGCTCGATAGGGGCGAAGGACAAAAAACACTCCAGGAAGAGGAGCAGGCACATGCCAGCAAAAGTGTCTGACAAAGCAGATCAGTGTGACAGAAAGCCAGACAGTGGTGGCCCAGAGCTGGGAAGAGTAAAGATGGGGAATGCGGCTGTCATCTCAGAGAATGCACCGATTCCTTCTGGGCTAGTGAAATGTTCCAAACTGAGAGTGGGAATGGATACAGGACTCCAGGATATTGAGTCTCATCATAATGCACACATAGTGGGGCAAATATACAGTATACGAACTTTCAATAAAACTATTTACAAATTACCACCGTACTTGCCCATAGATCATCTGAAAAAGGTTAATAGCAAGATACACAAAGCACTTGTGAACAAACAACCCCACCCAAAGAAATAGGGAGAAGAGATGAAACAGACACTTCCATAAAGAAGACTTACAGATGGCCAGTAGGCATATGGAAAAAATGTTCTCATTACTTTTCGATGAAACTCAAAATAACCAAGAGATACCACCTCACACAGTGAGAGTGGCACATATCAAAAAGAACCATAGCTATCTGTGCTGGCAAGGATGCTGAGAGAAAGGACCTTTCATCCTCTGTTGGTGCCAGGGGTGACTTGTCAAAACTCTTTGGAAAACACAGACTCCTCTCAAAAAATTAAGAATTTAGCTTCCGTATGATGCCCAGCAATTCGTTTCTTGGCATCTACCCCAAGAGCCCCAAAACACTATTTCAAAAAGATTTTTGCACTCCTATGTTCACTGCAGCACTCTGCACAATAGCCGAAATCTGGAAACAACCCAAGTGTCCAAGAACAGATGACAGGATAAAGAAACCCTGGAACATATACACAATAGAATACTGCACGGCTCTATGAATAGATGAAATCATGTAATCTGCCACTATGTGAATGGAACTGGAGGTTATCATGCTGAAAAAATTCAGTCAGGAGAGGAATAGATATAGAATGACACTGCTTATATACAGGATGTAAAGAAACATGGGAAGGGAATAACAATGGTGATGATGGCTAAGGCAGCAGAACAGTGAGAATCAATCTAAAGAACTGAGTTTACTAAGGGGTTGGGGATGGACAGGATGGAACCCTGGGAGTGAGGTGGACTCCACTGCTGGAATGTATGGAGCTAGGATACTGAATGCACGAAACTTATCATGAGCAGTACTATAAATCGGAGTCTCAAAATTATTTTTCTTATATTAGAAATAATAAATGTATGTATCCCACCCTCTCTTCCCCTCCAAATTATTTATGTGGGCCAAGAATGTGGCTCAGTGGTAAAGCACGTGCCTTACATGCATGAGGCCAGAAGGACGTTAAATAATAAAAACTTGAGCAGAGCCAAAGCGATGGTGCTGAGGGGTGGAACACCTGCTTTGTACGCAGAAGCCAAGGGTTCAGTCCCCATTCCTTCACGGCTCCCCAGCATCACACCAGGGAGAGCTCCAAGCATCACTGGGTACAGTCAAAAAGCTAAAAAAGAAAATCATTTACCAAAGCCTTTCTCAGGCTGCAAGGAAGCGAAGCTAAGTGAGAGACCACCTCTCAGGCGCTCAGTCCAAAGGAAACGTACACGAGAGGTGTCACTCTCCCGTACCTGAGAAAGCAAGCATCCCGGGTGGAGCCCGAAGACTCCTGTGTGTCAGGTGACTCTGCCCCAGCCAGATCTGGGAAACTTCCTTCAAAGAGACAGGGACAATAATGTCACAGGGCAATGACCCCATCCACTGGCTTGTAGGAAGGAGC